GCGCAGGGCGCGCTGTGACGGCGCCAGGGCCTGTCTGACGCATTGGAAGGGGCGCCCTGGCGGGTAACCCCCGCGGCAGCACCGCGGTAACCCCCGCGGCAGCACCGCTGGGTGCCCGGGTGTCCCCACCACCACGACGAAACGGCCCCTGCCGAAAACGTCCAAAAAACCTTTTGTTGTATTTGGTGTTGCGTCGCCAGGAGGTCTGGGCTCCCTCCTCCTCGTGTTCCTACCTCCTCTCTGGACGTCCGATGTCGTGATGATTTCTGTGCGCGGCCCCTGGACCTCTCGACGACTTCCTGGGGATGTATTTTTTTTCATCCTGAGTCGTTTTCTGACGGTCCCGGGACCCTGCGAGGGGCCCCAGAGGCCGAAAATTGACGAAAACCGCCGTGGTGATTTTTCCAAGACGTCGGAGGTCCAGGTCGTGCTTCCCGCCTCCCCAGACCTCCGACGTCGTAATGTTTGCGACCTCGGGCCCAGGAATCGATTGGGAAAACGCACATGGGAAGGCAAGAAATGATGGACCCAGCCGTGGCGACGTCGGGGACTGCAGAAGGTCGCAAGGACACGGAACCTGAAAGGAAGGGAGAGAAAGAGAGAGAAAGAGAGGGAGAGAAAGACAGACAGACAGAGAGCGAAGGAGAGAGAGAGAGAGAGAAATGGAGAGAGAGGAAGGAGCAAAAAAAAACACACATAGAGAGAGAGAGAGGCATAGAGAGGAAATGGAGAGGAGGCGAGCTTGAGTCAACGAAAGTCGCAGGGAAGGGGGCAGGGGGAAGAAGGCCAGAGAGCGCTGAAGGATACAAATACTGGAACCCTCTTGGGATTTTTTGGGGGGCCTCGTCCGGCCGCTCGCTGGGAGTTTGACGTAGCTTCTCGGGAGCCTCTGAACCTGTCGGGGGCCTCCTGGAAGCAGGTTCGAAGCATTTTGGGGGCCGATTTGGGGCTTCTCGGGGCCTCCTTTGGGCCTCTTGGGGGTCTCCTGGGGCCTCTTGAGGGGCCTCCTTGGGGCCTCCTGGCGGCCTCTTGGGGCGGAAGGCTCGAGCTTGCGGTTCGTGGTCCCCCTCTGGGCCCCCTCTTGGGCCCGTCTTGGGGCCCTCTTGGGCCATCTTGGGCGCCTCTTGGGCCGTCTTGGGGCCCTCTTGGGCTGTCCTGGGGCCCTCTTGGAAGCTTCTTGGGCCGTCTTGGGGCGGTCTTGGGCGCCTCTTGGGCCGTCCTGTAACGTCGGAAGGCCCAAAAGGCAACTTTGTGAAAAATGCACGTTTTACAACGGGAACGGGGCAATGTTTGCGTCTAGGGGCCCTCTTGGGACGCATGTTGAGGGCTTCTTGGGGCGTCTTGGGGGCGTCCTTGGACGTCTGGAGGCCATCTTCAGCATCTTGGAGCCCTCTTGGAGGCCTCTTGGAAGTTTCTTGGGCCGTCTTGGGCGCTTCTTGGGCCGTCTTGTCTGACCGGGGAGGCCTCCGGCAAGCCCCGACGAGCCTCCGGGGCCCCCGGAACCCACATTTGTGGTCGGGGCGCCGGCCCCGGGCCCCCGGACCCGGTCCCCCGTTATATGTATCCACTGAAATGATTACCCATTGGAGCCTTGAGGAGGTCCCGTATCCACTGAAGTGATTACCCATTGATGGTGTAAGCATGCTGTAAAGAAACATCCATAATGCTGGCCGAACAGAACCCAAGCACCGACAATGACATATGCTCCTTAATCCGCCGACCCTGTCGGCGTGTGAGGTGCTCTTCCGTTTGTCGTCGTCGGTGTCGTCGTCGCCGTCGCCGTCGTCGTTGTCGTCGTCGTCGTCGTCGCCCTCGCCATCTTCCCCCTTTCCCCGGGCCCTCTTCCTCAACCGATTCAGCCAATACGAAATCGAATCGAACAACGAAGGGAAGCACCTTCCCTTGATCCCTTCCCCAGCGGGGGGGGTGCTCCGGGGCAACTCCCGGGGGGTGGTCCCGGCGGGTGGTCTCGGGGGGTGATCCTGGGGGGTGGTCCCGAGGGGTGCCCTGGGGCCCGTGGGGCTCCTGTTATTGTTTTGCCGATCCCGAATATGTGGCGGAGGGTCCCCGGGACCCCCCCAAGAACCGGGGGGAGGGAGCCTCCTCCCTTCCCCCCAGCGTCCCCGCTTTGCCCCCCCTTCCAAGCGTCCCATGCTCCCCCTGTCCACAGGAGGGAGCCCCCCCCTCCACAGCGGGGAGCGACCCCCCTTGGTCGTCGTCGTCGTCGTCGCCGCCGTCGTCGTTCAGGGTCGGCGGCACCGGCAGTAAGGCCTCTCCAGTATTCAATTCGAAGCTATGCAAGCCAGTTTAGCCAAACACATCGAAGGCTATGAATGCAATGCAAAGCAAGAGAAAACGATGCTCAGAAGTGCAATGTGGATCACGGAACCATGCAATTGCACATGCAACGGAAAGCAGCCCAGTGGAATGCAATGCAATACAATGCACGATGAGACAAAAGACCGAGAGAGTCCGAGGCGTCACGGAAATCAGAGATCCCAGGGACGAGCCGCCCTGGGAAGAGCCCAAGAGGACCCCAAGGGGAGCCCAAGACATGGTCAAAGGGCAGCCAAGAACATCCAATGAGTTCTCCGAGAGAGGCGAAGGGGGGCCCAAGCGTGGCCCCGAAAGAGCTCCAAGCAGGCTCCAGAACGAAGCACAGGAGGGCCCCAAGAGGCGCCCCAAGAAAGCCCAAAGATAACGACAGAAAGAGAGGGTCCAAAGAAGTGCCTCCTCAGCGCGACAAAAAAAAACGCAGAGGCCCACAATGAGCCCCAAGAAGGGCGTTCTCAACAGCCCCGTCCCTTGAGAAGGTCACAGCTCCACTGAAGCAGTGACCCACCACTGGCTTGAGCTCGAGGTGAAAAAATACCGATCATGCAGATGGAAGCGAGACCTACGGCCCCAGATGAAGGCGGGGTTCACATGGCGCCCCCCCGTCAATTTCGGCACGGCACTCACACGGATATTGTCCCCCTGGGAGCTCCTCTTTCGGGTCCAGGGGCAAAATTCGCACGGCGTCGCTCCGCCCATCTCGGCACACCCAACACACGAATCGTACCCTAGAGGGATGTCGTTTCACGTACGGCCTTAGTGTGGGGAGTCGCATAACGTCACGTTTCCCCCCACGCGTATGTCACACGAATCGTATCAACAGGGAGCTCCACCGACGGTTCCAGAGCCAACGTTCGCATCCCGCCGCCCCGCCTATGGCAGTAAATACACCCCTGACCTGAATCGTGAGTTCGGGGCGTCTTGGGTGCTTCTGTGGGCCACGCGGCATGTTTCTGTGAGGCCTCTGAAGCCCTGAGATGGATCGTGAATCGGGAGCCTCTTGAAGCCTTTTCTGGGAGCCTCGTGCAGGACGTCGAAGCGAGACCTCCCATACGCTTACGGGTGACTACTGGGAAGCCTCCTGGGACCGTTTTGGGAGCGTTTTGGGAGTCTCTGGGGGCCTCTTGGGACCGTCTTGGGGGTCCTTTTGGGGCTCGTTGGCGCTCTTTGGGGCCCTCTTGGCCCGTCCCGGGGCCCTCTTGGACCGTCTTGGGCGCTTGGGCCGTCTTGGGGCCCTCTTGGGGCCCTCTTGGGCCGTCGAGGGTGCCTTCTGTGGCCCTCATGGGGCTCCCTGGGGACTCTTTTGGAAACCTCTGGGGACCGTCGTGGGCCGTCGGGGGGCTCTCATGGGCCGTGTTTGAGTTCTCTTGGGCTGTCTTGGGGCCCTCTTGGGTCGTCTTACGGCCGTCTCGGGAGCCTTCGGGTCCGTCTTGGGCGCTGTCAGGACCGAAGAAACGAATATGCTAAAAACGCACGTTTTCCGAAAAGAATTTGGCTGTTTTTGCCTATTGGTGACCTTCTGGGAGGCCTCTTGGGCCGGCTTGAGGGCCTCTGAGGCCAAAAATATAGATTTCCCGTTGGTTTGTGAAAGATTCGAATTTATCGAGGACCTTTTTCGGACGCCTCTCGGGCACCCTTGGGGGCCTCCTGGGCCGTCTTGGAGCGCTCTTGGGGTCCTCTTGGTGCGTCTTGGAGAGCTCTTGGGCCATCTGTAAACACTCTTGGGCGGATTTAGGGCAGCTCTGAGCCTCAGGGGCGGATCCCGGAGGGCTCCTGGGAGGGGGCACTACCTATGTACAAGGGGGGGGGCCTGCGGGTCCCCGGGGTCGGAATCCCCCATATATATAGAGAGAGAGACATACATACATACATACATACATACATACATACATACATACATACATACATACATACAGACAGACAGACAGACAGACAGACAGACAGACAGACAGACAGACAGACAGACAGACAGACAGACAGACAGACAGACAGACAGACAGACAGACATACATACACATATACATATACGTATACATATACACATACACATACACATACATATAAACATACACATACATATACATAGACATTTACATATCAATATACATATACATATACATATACATATTCATATACCTATACCTATACCTATACATATACATACACACATACATAGACATAGACATATACATATACATGTACCTATGCATATACATATACATACATACGCACATAATGACAACTCCGTCGATCCCTCGAAAACGAAGCCCGTTCTGCAACACACCATGCGTTGATCTCGTCGCCAAATCACACATGGGGAAACCAAAAGGTGCCGATACCGCTGCTCCACGGACCTCTCCCGGGGTGCGTTCCGACCAGGATTTCGAGGCGAATCCAGAGCCTCCGAGAAGGCAGAAAGACGGGAAAACGGGCCAAGGGTAGCGGTATCGATACCCATTCCGCCTCTGAGCAAAAGTTAAGTCGGGCCTGTACCCCTACAGGAGGATTTTGAACGAAAAGTGCAACATAATCCAAAACTACCCCAAAATTGTCAAAAATGGTCCCCAGACTATTTGTGTACTATTTTTGAGTATTCCTCCTGTAGGGGTACAGGCCCGACTGAAAACGAGAGGCGAGGAGGTCCGCGGAGAGAGCGCGGCGCGCGCCATCCGGTGCCGCAGCTGGATGGCGGCGTGCGCCGCGGCGTGCCCGTTGCCGCCGGCCAGCGCCGCGGCGAGCCGGGGCGAGGCGCTGGGAGGCGAGGGGCGAGGAGCAGCGCGGTGCCGCGAGGATGGGCGGGGCAGGAGCGAGGAGGAACGAGGGCGAGCGAGGAGAGGAGCAAGGAGGATCGAGGGGAGGCGAGGAGGAGCGGGGAGGAAGGGAAGAGATATGCTCCTCTCCGTTTGCTCTCTCGAGCAGGCTCGCCGCTGGTCGCTGCTTCTCGCCGCTGCCTCGCACGCCGTGCTCCACACATGCGGCGCCTCTCGCGTGCCCGTGCATAGGATCCCGCCGTGCTGCTGCGCACGCGGCTGCCGAGCAAGAGGGGATGGGACAAGGAGGGATGAACTGGCGAGGACGTCGAGGGAGGTTGAAGGGGCCCCAGGACACACAAATAAATACACACAAATTCGCCGGCCCAACGGGCCAGGGCGTGCTAAGATCTCCGGTACCTGGTTAACAGTATTTCTAGTTCGCGCGCGCGGGGCGGCCCCTGGGGGTCCCCGGACGAAAGTACCCCGGCAAGGTCCCGGCAAGTCCCCGGCAAGTCCCCGGCAAGGTCCCGGCAAGGTCGGGCCAGAGATGCTGGAGTTCTGTTTCGGAGTCCAAGAGGGCTCCAGATCGGTCCAAGAGGGCCCCGAGAAGCTTTCTAGACGGTCCAAGAGAGGCCAGAGACGGCCAAAGATCGCCCGAAGACGCCCCAGATGGCCCCAAGACAGCCCAAGAGGCCTCCAAGACGCTCCAAGGGCCTTCCAAGAGGCCTCCGAAGAGGGCCCCAAGTTGCCAAAATCGTTGATTTTCATTGGTTTTTTCTATGTTTTTTTGCGTTCTGGCCTTTTCGCTTCCGGACGCTCCAAGAGGGCCCAAGAGGCCTTCAAGACTGCTCCAAGACGGCCCACGAGGCTCCCAAGACGGCCCCGGAGCGGCCCAAGAGCGCCCCCCAGACGGCCCAAGTGCTGCCCAAGGCGGACCAAGAGGCCCCAAGACGGGCCCAAGAGGGGCTCAAGAAGGGAACCGAGAACTGAAAAATCGAGCCCTCCGCCCCAGAAGGCGCCCAGGACCCCGAAAGAGGCCCCAAGAGACTCTCCAAGACACCCCCAAGACGCCCCAATAAGCTCCCGTGAGGCCCCAAGAGGACCAACAACGTCAGGCCCCAGGCCCCAAGAGGACCAACAAATACCGCCAAGAGCCCGCCGAAAGCCCCCCAAGAGACCGTCACGAGAGCTCAGGAGGCCCCCTGGAGGCCTCCCGAGTTCTCCAAGAGGCCTAAAAAGAGGCGCCAAGAGGCCCCAAACGGCCCCACCGAAGCTCCAAGAGGCCACGAACGCGCAAGCAAACGCCTGCGATGGCACAGCACAATACGGACCGGCGGAATGAGCGAAGCGATTAATAAACATATTCCCCATATGTTTGTCTTCCCCCCCACTTGCCATATTTTCCTACATTTTCCTGGGAATCGACGATTAATTGTGTCAGTGTGTTTTTGTCCCCTCCTGAGAGGTGGCGGGATGGCGGGGGGTGCCGCCTTCCCGATCCCGTCCCGGCGGCGGGCGCGGGCGAGCGCGGTGGAGACAGGACGGCGGCAGAGCCAGCGTAGGCGCAGCAGGGGGGAGGGAGGAGCGAGGAGGCAGGAGGGAGGAAGGGGAGGGGAGGAATGCGGAGGACCAGGGAGGGAGGGAGGGAGGGAGGGGCAGGAGCCAGGAGGGAGGGAGGGAGGGGAGGAGCGAGGCAGGGAGGTGGCAGGATGGACGCAGGAGGATGGCAGAAGGGAGGTGCAGTCTATGTGGCGGCATCAGGTCATTGATTGCGATCGATGTACAGTCGAAACGAATCGAAAAGATGTATTGTGTTGATTGCTATCGCAAGGAACCCTGAAGAAGGAGCGAGGCCCCTTGTTCCATAAGTGAAACTTCGATTTCCCACAGAATCCGTAACAAGAGCCTGAGACATGCCGTTGAACCAGTAAGGAGCACCGAGCCCCTCAGCGGCCCGACTGTCATGGAGTCTGCGTGGCGCAGGCTATGCGCTGCGACCTGCACATCGCATTCCGTGCGGCGCAAGCTGTGTGTGCAGCCTGACACACGAGCCACCATCGGGGTGACGTAAGACTCGGGTACGGGGAGCTCGGGTTGGCCTGACGGGGCCGTCAGGAAAATGACGAGACCGTCTGAAACTTGACGCGAGCTTCCACTGCAGAGATCCCACGAGAGCTGGACCGTCAAAATCCAAGGCGGGCTCGTCAAAAAGCGTCGGCGAACCCGGGTTCCGGCGTACTCGAGCCTTACGTTTCCTCGACACCACACAGGGCGGCAACCAGGCGCCCGCCGAGGGACCAGCGGGCATGCCCGGGAGCAGCACACCGAGGGGCCGCGAGAGGCCGCCGCGGGCCGCGGCGTGGCACGCCCGGCCGGCGCACGGAGGCGGCCCCGCGGCGGCGACGGGCGGTTGGCAGGCGAACACCCAGAACGTTTGAGCGGGGACCGACCGTCCCGGCACTCCAAGATGACCAGCCTCGAACTTATCCCTATCCCTAAGATTGACACGCCAAAAGGCAATGACAAGCTTAGGGATTCGCCCTCGAGAAAAAAGGGAATCCCTAAGATTGGCATCGTGATGAGGAGATGCCCAGCATAGGGATAGGGACATGTTCCAGGCTGGTGACAATAGGCCTACCACGACATGTTCTTAGAACCCAGAAATGTTCTGAGAACGAAGCCAAAGTTCTCAGAACAGACACACGGTGTGTTAAAACAAGCCCATCCCAGCCAAAGATGTTCTAAGAACATTCCGTGAAGATTTCAACAGGATCTTAGAACATTCTTCGGTGGGGCCTGTGGGCGAGCCAGGATGCTTCGCCACTGCTTGAAAAATACCAAACGAATGACTCAGAAACGATGCTTTACACAAATCCCGAATCGCCGGCCCCTGAGATCCGACGTGGCGAGACAAATGCAACATCGCAAAAAGACAACGCCCGGTGCCCTATTACCCCTATGTTCCTGCGTCATTCTTCCAGCCCAAATCGATCTGGGAAGGTCCCAGGGCCCGACAAGAACGAAAACGCCCAGCTCGAACAACAATCGAGTCGCCAGGATCTCAGAGGCCCTGTTTGGAAGAACGAGCGCCACGTTGATCAACAAAAAAAAATCTCGCGTAGCATCAAGCCCCGACGGCTCCTGGGCCCCATCGCATGGCGGAACTGCCCTGTCGTCGTAACGGTGGACCTGGGCCAGAAGAGCATCCCTCGAGAACATAAGACCCTCCGTCGGCCAAGACACACATGAGGGGCAACGATAGGGGTGGGCTGGCATAGGGGGGGATGCATCGACATGGAATCGGCGATACATCGCCGATAGGTCGGCCTCCGATAGTGAATCTGCACCTTCCTGGGCAGGTAGGGGCTATCGGGCCCCTGTCGGCGATCAATGGGCGATTGGGGGTCGATGCATCCCCCCCCCTATGCCTATCCCCCCTATCGTTGCCCCTGAACGCAGAACATCCCAGGGCGCACAAAACATCCAGCAACCACGAAGAACATCAGGGTACCCTTCACGAACCGACCTCGATCTTATACGTAGCACCCCGCAAATGCGGATAAGAGTGAGGGGGCGGTAGGAACGTCGGCAGTTTGCGAGACTCCGAAGAAACCCGCCGCAGGCGCCAGGGTTTGACAAATCATACAACGAGCCCGCCGCAGGCGCAGATTTCTTCGTTAAACCAATGTGGGTAAGTCGCGGGTGGGTCGCGGGTGCGTCGCGAATGGGTCGCGGGTGGGTCGTTGTTGGGTCGAGGGTGGGTCGCGGGTGTAGAGGGCCGAAAATTCACCCCGTAATAATCACCCCGACAAGCGAAGCCGTTTAGTGAACGCACACAAGGAATGAATCGAATAGGGTAAGGCTGTTTCGCCAACGCCCAGAGCCGTGTAGTAAAAAACAATTGTCGAGTCCGGTCGGTTTTTCCTCACTTAGGGTGGGTCGCGGGGTGGGTCGCGGGTGGGTCGCGGGGTAGGTCGCGGGTGGGTCGCGGATCGGTCGCGGATTGGTCTCGGGGTGGGTCGCGGGTGGGTCGCGGGGTGGGTCGCGGGGTGGCTTGGGGGGTGGGTCGCGGGCTGGGTCGCGGGTGGGTCGCTAGTGGGTCGCGGGTTGGGTCGCGGGTGGGTTGCGAGGTGGGTCGCGGGTGGGTCGCGGGGTGGGTCGCGGGGTGGGTCGCGGGTTGGGTCGCGGGGTGGGTCGGGGGTTGGTCGCGGGTGGGTCGCGGTTGGGACGACGACAAACAACAACAGCAGCAGCAACGACAACAACAGCAGCAACAACATCAACAACAACATCAACAACAACAGCAACAGCAATCACAACAACACCAACACCAACACCACCAACAACAACAAAACCACCACCACCACCACCACCAACGACAACAACAACAACAACAACAACAACAACAACAACAACGACAACAACAACAACAACAACAACAACAACAATCATTTTACCCGAACGCGTGGTGTTCTCCCCAGTGCCAGGGTTTTCATACGACACCAGGCAATACCCCCACTTCGTGGGGGGGCATTACAAGCTCTACCAAATATCCAAACGACTCTTCGCGACCACCCAAACCCAGCTTCCCGCCCTATGACGTTGGGACACTTCACTTCGTGGCGTGCGGACGACCGTGGCTACTACACTGGCGTGGGGTACACACCCACAGAACCCAATGGTTTTTGGAGATTTCGGCGTGCGCGCGCGAAGAAAAAACGAATGTGTCCCGCATGGTATTATTTGACAGGGATGATGGCCCTGGCAGGTGCGCAACCGTTGTCGCAGAAGTTCGAAAAGTTGCTCGCAAAAGCCCGTTTGACAGAAATGTTTAAAAAGTGTTGGGTTTCCTACGAATCCGCAAGAGCGCGCGGGATGAGATTTTGACATTTTTTTGTTGAAAAACCATTGGTTTTTTGATGTTTTTATGTTAAAATCGCTCCGAACACTAAGCTTTTGGAAGGATTTCGTCTTGCGCGCGCGAATGTCCACTTTACCTTATTTTTTGCAAGGGATTCTTGAAATTTGATTATATTAGAACAAGAAATGTCATTTTATAGTGTTTTTTGCAAGGGAAAACGGATTACAACAAAACAACCGGATCTTGATCACCTCGAATTACCTGAGGCTTCCTCACGAAAATGATGAAAACGTGGCTGCGGCCTAGGCGCGGCGGGGGGGGCGCGCACCAGGGGGCCCAACAATAATTATTCTTTAGAATTAATAATGTTCAACAACAACATCATCATCATCATCATCATCATCATCAGCATCACCATCATCAACAACAACAACACCATCACCACCAACAACAACAACAGTCATTTTAAACCTGTTCGCCCTTATCTGCTCGAGTGTCCAATAACGCCTATTTCCCAAATCCTCGAAACCCGCCCTCTTCGTCTTCGATCGAACCCCTTTTGGGGGGTATACCTTTCTTCCCTGCAGGCCGGGCCTCGGCAAGCGGCGGGGCGGCCGCGGACCGTCGGCCTAGCCAGCGGCAGCGCTGATCGGTGGGGCGACCGCGGACCGTCGACCCGACCCCAAGAGGGACGGACAGGGGACCGACCACGACGACGACGTCGACGACGACGGCGACGACGACGACGACGGCGACGACGACGACGACGAGCGAAAGCGGGAGCGAAAGAGAACGACAGCAGGGCCACAAGGACACGAAGTAGGCCACGAAAGGCAACAGCGGGGACACGAAGGGAATGCGTACGTGGCCACGAAGAGCGCGAACGAGCGGGGGCCACGAAGGGCAGATGATGCGGGGCCACAGAAGGCAACGATGGGGCCACTGAGGGTAGCGACTGGGCCACGTAGGACAGATGCATATGGGGCCACCAAGGGCGCGAACGAGCGGGGGCCACGAAGGGCATACATATATGGGACCACGAAGGGCAGCGAGGGGGCCACGAAGGGATGCAACGGGGCCACGAAGGGCAGCGAGGGGGCCACGAAGGACTGCAACGGAGCCACGAAGGGCTGCGACGGAGCCACGAAGGGCAGCGAGGGGGCCACGAAGGGCTGCAACGGGGCCACGCAACAAAGCGAGGGAGCCAAGAAGGACTGCAACGGGGCCACGAAGGGCAGCGAGGAGGCCACGAGTGGCTGCAACGAGGCCACGAAGGGCAGCGAGGGGGCTACGAAGGGCTGCAACGGGGCCACGAAACAAAGCGAGGGAGCCAAGAAGGACTGCAACGGGGCCACGAAGGGCAGCGAGGAGGCCACGAGGGGCTGCAACGGGGCCACGAAGGGCAGAGAGGGGGCTACGAAGGGCTGCAACGGGGCCAAGAAACAAAGCGAGGGGGCCACGAAGGGCTGCAACGGGGCCACGAAGGGCAGCGAGACCCCGATTCCTATGAAATCTGTGAAGGAGTCCTAAGCGTGAGCGCGACTCCTGGGTGCCTGGGTGTCGGGAGCGCGGCGCTTGAGTAGATTGCAAGAAATTCCAACGTATGGGCGCTATTCTCTAGTAAATTGCAAGCAAGTCTCCAGCGAGAGAACGATTCCAGAGCGCCCAGAGAACAAATCCTAAGGAAGTCCCAAGTGAGAGCGCGATTCCTGAATAAACCGCGAGAAAGTCTCGGGCGGGAGCGGGGGTCCCGGCTAAATTGTGAAAAAGTCTCAGGCGGGAGCCGTTGTTGTTGCAAACCGGGGGCCAACGACACAATTTGATGCTCAAGAATTTCCCTGATAAAAGAACAGGGTGCGAGCCCCGGGGGATCAACAATAATACAATAATCATTACTCAGAAATGAGAGTTCAACAACAACAAAAAACAACAACAACAACAACAACAACAACAACAACAACAACAACAACAACAACAACAACATCAACAGCAACAGCAACAGCAACAGCAACAGCAACATCAACAACAACAACAACAGCAATAACAACGCCAACCACAACAATAACAACAACAACAACAACAACAACAACAACAACAACAACAACAACAACAACAACACCGACAACAACAACAACAACAACAACAACAACAACAACAACAACAGCAACAGCAACAGCAACAGCAACAGCAACAACAACAGCAACAACAACAACAGCAACACAAACACAGCAAGCAGAATCCTCACCAAGCATTCCTCATTCGGCCGCGCACCCGGGGACGAGTGGATGACCGTCCGGCCCCCTCGCTCTGACCTCGGCCCGACTGCACCTGGCCGCGCCGCCCAGATCGGATGGCCGGCGTCGCGCACGGAGAGGGCGGCGCGACGGGGGCCGCCTTCTACGAGCGCGGGGGGCACCAAGGACCGCTCCTTGCCGTCGCTCGGACGTCCATTTCCTGTGCATCTTTCGGTTTCGTGCGTATTTTTTTTGCTCGATGGTCCAGGATGGTCCGCGATGGTTCTCGACGAGAAAAAATGCACACGTCCGAGCGATGCCAGGCCAGAGGACCCCGAGGTCCGTCAGCAGGCCCCCAAGGACCGCCAGAGGCCCAAGTGAAAGGCCCAGGAAGGCGCCCCCAGAGACGGGGAACGTCTTCGAAGAGTCGGGAGTACGGGAACGAACAATGACGTAGACATAACAACTCCGACGTCCGCGGCAGATTTCTCGGAACGGCGCTGGAGACCCCCGGTGGCGCCTCGGGCGCCGCCCTTGGCGCGCTCCGCGCGCCAGGGAGGGGGGACCAGCGGGGACCCAAGAAATCTGCGCGGACCTCCGAGTTTTACGCTTATGCCACTGTTCGTTACCCCAGGGTGACCTACAAAAGCCCCCCTTCGAAGCCTCCGAGGCCATCCGAGAAGGACGCCGCCTTCTGAGCACTCCACCGCCCTCTTGGAAGGGCCGCACCCCTCGCGCCGACCCCCGCTCCCCCCCCCTCCAGGATCGGACCCATGACAGTGCTGGTGACAATCGATGAACGGCCGCTGCAACTCGACTGAACATCAGATCCGCTTCCCATCATATGGGGTCCATAACCGCTTCGCTCGACGAGCCGCTGCCGACCACAGGCAGGCAGACGTCACCACAACCCTCGCGCCAGCCCCCTGTGCGCACCGCCAACCGAAGGCTGCCGGCGCTCATCCGGGCCAGCTAGGGCGATGCCGCGAAGCCAGGCCGGCCACAAAGCACGGCCCAAACCCAGGTTCGCGGAGGGCAGAGAAGAAAGCTCGGCTCCACATGGTGGGTTCCGTAAGCCTTGAACCCCAAAGGGTGCCATCTCTGGGGGGCGCATCTTCTACCTCCGCCGCCTTCCGCCCGCATTCCGCTGGCGGAAGCGCCCTCGTTTTACTTCCGTCGGCTTCCGCCGACCTCCCGCAGCCTTCCGCCGACGAAGAGATGCCAACTCCTTCGATCCTCGGAGGCGAAGCCCTTTCTCTAGCACGGCTCACATGGCCCAGACCCGTGTCAGTCGGATGGGGACTGGCTGACCCCCGTCAGCGGTGACCCCATGTAACGCGCGCCGCGAGTCGTTCTTCTGTCGCGGAGCCCGGACAGATCTGATGGGTCGCTGTCGGTGGAAAGGCTGTCCACGGCGACAACACAATCGAAAACCGACCGAGCCACCGGCCAAACCGAAGGCACTCGCGAAACACTCTCGGCGAAGCGCAACTGCTCGAGCGCATCCCGCGGACGTACGGAAACGGCCGGAAACCTAGAACCTCGAGCCTCAAAACCAGATTGACTCGACGCACGCTCAGACGTCCGACGATAGGATTGCTTTCCATGCGCGGTCCCAGAAATCCCGACCCCCCTTCCCTGGAGGCAATCTTGCGCCCTGGACAAGCCTTTGATGGTCACAGGGCCCGGCAACAGGCCCTGGAAGCCCAAATCGAGGAACACCGCTTGGATTGAAAAGACCACACCGTCGGAAATCTGGGCGGGGGGCCGGACTGGAGGCTGCCGATAAAGTGGCCGTCTCCTGGTCGCGAACAGGCGGTCGAGCTCGAAGTTGGTCATATGGGTCGACGTCGACCGCCGCACGCCAACCACCTCCAGCGGGGCCCCCGGAGAACACCCCGCCGCGGCACAGGAGGGGGGCCACGGAGCGACGACGACGACGTCGACGTTGACGACGACAACAATAAACGACGACGACGACGACGACGACGACGACGACGACGCTGACGACGACGACGACGACGACGACGACGACGACGGCGACGGCGACGACGGCGGCGGCGGCGACAGAAGAAAAAGGTGGTGCCGCGCGATGAAGAATGTCGCTCCTCCTCGCCCTCCCCCCTCGAACACCTCTTGGGGGCGCGTCTTCTACCTCCGTTGCCTTCCGCTGGCCTTCCGCAAGCTTCCACCAGTTGAGGCGGATTCGTGCTGCCCCCGCCACCGCCGAGGAAGAGATGGCAGCCCATCGACCGCTCGAAGGCGACGAGGCCCTTTCCGGAGCGCCCCCCCACACGTGTCCGGGATAGCTGCGGCGGACTATGCAGGACTCAACGGGTGGGCGCCGATGTGCGGATCGATCCCCCAATGCCTCTCGCTCAGCTACCGCCGTCGTTGTCGCCCCCTAGAGGCACGTGAAAAGCTAGGACGGAGGGGGTATGAAGGAGGAGAGGCCGCCCTGGAGGAGGAGGAGGAAGAGGAGGAGGAGGAGGAGGAGGAGGAGGAAGAGGAGGAGGAGGATGAAGGAGTAGGAGGAGGAGGAGGAGGAGGAGGCGAAGGAGGAGGAAAGGCCGCCCTGGACCCCTCTGGGAGGCCCCCCCCCCAAAAGCCCCGCAGCAGACGCGGAGAAAGCAAACATTGCACGCAGACGCCACGACGGGAAGCGGACAGGACAGCGCAGACGAAATCGGAGGTCACATCTCTGAAGGGGCTCTGGGACACACAAATTAATAGACACAAATAACAGGATCCCCCTGTGGGCAGGAGAACCCAAAATCTTGAGCAGAGACCGACCGTCCCGGCATTCCTATAGGCCTACCACGACATGTTCTTAGAACCCACAAATGCTCTAATAACAAAAAACAGTGTTCTTAGAACGTCAACCCGATGTGTTAGAACAAACCAGTCCCAACCAGAAATGTTCTAAGAACAGTTCGTGGAAACCACACAGGTTCTTAGAACATTGTTCGGTAGGCCTATAGGCACGCTGGGACGCTTTGCCACTGCTTGAGAATCGATTAGAGAAGTCGGATCGGCGATCGAAACGAATCCGATCGGCGGAGATTGGCGGACGAGTCGGGAAACATCGAATCCGCGGAGATCGGCAGGTCAGGATGCCTCCAGTGAGAAATCGGAACCCAAATCGAAATCCCGAGCCGAATCGAATCGGAATCGGAAGCCATCGAAATCGAATCGAATCGAATCGGAGGAATCGAAACGAGCCCTGTGGGGTTGAGGGAATGACGCAACATTGCCGAGTCTGCCCGCCCAGCGGGTTGAGAGGCTTGTGAGTGAAATTGTGAGAACTCCTTACAAGGCTTGAGCTCCCCCCCCTTCCCCCGAAGAGGCCTCTGCCACTCCGCCGCCCTGCTGCATCCCATTCCCTTTTCGCTCCCCAAGACGGCGTGCAAACGGCGTCCAGGACGAGCTCGAAATTCAGACCGCTCCCGACAAACTGTCGGGCCGTATCTCGGCTGCATTTTGGGCACGTTGGGGCCCCGTCATGGTCTCAAAAACCGACGCCTGTGGCCCTCGAGAGCGCCTCATGGGCCCAACTTCGTCAACAACCTCAAACCCTCAAAAGCATGGCAAATCCCCCAAGGTTTTTGATGAGTAAAGCCTCCCCAGGCGTCGCCAGGACGCCCCTTCTGGTTCACTTTCGGGCTCCTCTGGAGCTCTCTTCAGTACGCACCTCTTGCCACCGTTTTTTGGGACGAGCTCTGGGGCACATGCTCGACGACTCTTGGCCCAACTTCGCCCCCGAGACGAGCCGATGATCTTCTGACCCGAGTCAATCCAAACCCGGGTCAGTCAGGCCTTGCAGAATCCTGCAAGATCCTGCACCCAAACCCGGGTCAATGCGAAGGATCCTGCAAGATGCTGCAGGATCCTGCACCCAAACCTGGGTCAATGCGACCCTGTCCCTGCAAGATCCTGCAAGATCCGGCGCCCTGGATGACCCCCGTCTCTCGGGTCGGGCGAAAGGAGGGGATAGCAAAGGGGGGGTTTGAGAATCAGCTCACGCAGCTGATTTTCCCTGCGCCTCCCGGCGCTGGAGGCGCCCATGTATCGAGGAGTGGGCCCCTCGGTGAGGCCGAATCCAGCTGCATGCCGCAAATTTCGTAACCCTCCCTTTCCCAATCCCCCCCTCTCGTCCGGCCCGAGTCTCGAGGCTCCCGAGACGCGGCCCAAACATGCCCAGGCACCGGCAGGGCGGGGGCGTGTGGCCAAAGCGCGGGAGTGCTCGCGCTGGTGCCGGCCAGAGGCGCGGGGGGCCCGCCGCGGGCCCCTCTTCGGGGGCGGCCGAGAGGGGGTGTCCAAGGGGGGGGTATCCAAGAGAGGGGGGGTGCAGATCATGACTGGCGGCATGTGCGCGGCCCAGCGGGGGGGCCAGGGACGCAATGAGATAAGAAGAGGCGCCATGAAATCCGGGGAGATATCATGGCTCACGCCATGATATCCACCCCCCCCCTTTAGTCATCACCCCCCACTTTTCCGCCCCCGACCTTTGCGCCCCCTCCCTGGACCCTTTCGCCAGGCCCTCTCGCGGGCCCGTGCGGGCCTCTCGGGACATGCCTTCGGGCCCCCCTGGGCCCCTCTTGGGCGGGCCCTCGCGCTGTCAGGGGTTCCTTATGAGAGGGGCCCTGGGACACACAAAGAAATACACACGCAAAGGACAGGATTCCCTCCTATTTCCCACATTTGTGTGGTTTGGGTCTTCCCCCCACTTCCTATTCTTCCCCTTTTTCCCTGGCGATCGACGATTCATCGTGTCTGTGTGTCTTTCCCCTCCTGGCCCTTCGCCCAGCGGAGTGCGCGCAGCGGTGCAGAGCACTGCCAGCGTATACCCGCGCCCTCGCGACCGGGGTCGCGACGGGCCGGCCGGCACGGGGCATGGCCTGGGGCAGCTCGGCGATGGGACGGAGGGGCTTCTCGGCCGTCCTCCAGCCCCTCGCCTCGCTCACTCGAAGGCCCAGGATCTCGAGGCGAATCCAGCGGTGGCAACGAGGGCCTCCCAGGAGGCCCAAAAAGGCGAAAACGGGGCGAGGGTAGTGGTATGGGTAGAGTCAAAAGGCCTAATAAGGACGCGCGGTAAGGACGCAAGACCCTTGGACGCCGAGGTTGGGATTTTGGGGGCGGCGGACGACGAAAACCCCAAGGACGCAAGAGCAAGGAAGAGCACGGACGCAAGGGTACCCTGAGCAAAGTCGCGCGTCCTTATTAGGGTTTTTGGCTGTAGTTACCCTTTCCCCCTCTGACCAGAGGTCGGGACCTTTTGCCCTGGGACCGGCCTCATCCCGAGGCATTCTGGACTGTGCCGGGGCCCAGCGAGGGACCCCCAGGGACTGGGAAGGGCTGCAAGACCCGAGCGTAGACGAGCGCGCTCCGCTACTCGCAGAGTGCCCACTCGCAAATGGTCTGGATCCGCCGCGGGGGATCCGCGACAGATTACATCGACGCAGACATGTGTGTTTCGGGGGTCTGCGAGTAGGCACTGTGCAAGTGGTGGAATGCGCCCGGTGATTGAAGGCCCCCTCGGGCCGCGCGCGGGAAATCTAGAGCGGTTTCGCGGCAGTCTCCGAGCTGGAAAGGGCGGGCGGCGAACGCGAAGCATCTTAAATCCCACCAGCCCTTTAGGGCGTCAATGGTTTAGGGACGTTCCTCCTCCACCCCCGATTCTTTCCCTTCGGGGAGGGGTTCATCACTTTTCCCTATAATAAACACCCCATCCCCCAGGTGACCGGCAGCCAACCGGGACCAATGCGGACATATCCCCCCGCCATCCTTGCCAACAAAAAACAATGTGAAGCCCACTTTGGGGCAAAAACTGAGGTCATAATCAGGGGAGAGCGCGAAAGCTTTGTATTGTCTTTTTTGTCAGGGACGGCCGAGGTGCCCGCAGATTGCCTGCACCAGGCGTGCCTGGCACGCTTGGGTCACAGGGGTGCCTGGCGCACCTGGCGCGCCTGACACGCGTGGCGCACCTCGTCCCAGCTTTGCGCACATGAGGTCTGGTTTGGTTCCCATTAGCTGTCCCCATCCACAGACGAACGCTGAACATGCTGCGGTTCGGTGCTACTTCTTTGTTAGGAGGGCGGGTGGGAGTGAGCGAGACAACTTGCGGGCGGGGAGGTGCTCTTGATTAATGTACACGCCATCCCCCACCCAACTGTGGGTCAACCCGAGACACGCCCCTCCCCCACCAGCCCACATACGAATCATGCCTGTCAAAAACAATACATGCACTTGGCCTCCAAATGTGGAGCATGCGCGGACGCCCCGCCACCACATTGCATTGGTTTCTGACAAGGACAGTGGGGTGCTCGCTGCGCGCAGGCCAACCATCCCTGTCAAAAAACAATGCACAATGCACATTGCTTCTACATCTGGAGCTTTCGCGGGCGCCCCCGAGAGCACTTTGCATTGCTTTTTGAAAGCGACGGCGGGGGTGTCGTCATATTTCTCGCTGTGCGCCAGCTACCCATCCCTATCACAAAAAACGACAGATAATACATGATGCACTTTGCCTCCACATCTGGTGCGTGCGTGGACCGCTTGGGCCTCCAGGGTGCCTGGTGCACCTGGAACCCGTGGCGCACCTGGCATGCGTGGCGCTTCCAAGCAATATGCTGAGACTCCCTCGGGTATTATTAGTGTGTTGGGAGGGCGGGTGGGAGTGAGCGAGACGGCTTGCGGGCGAAGGGGGGGGCTTCCCCTCCCCCTACCACCTCCCCCTGGAGCTGGACGAAGGGGAGGGGCGCAAGGGGTTAGAGCGTCCAAGATGGCCTCGGCGAGGAAGCTGGCATCATTGATTTTACAATGTTTTGGCCACATGTTGGCCTCCTGGGTGGGGGCCCTAATCAAGGAGCTCCCCTCCTTTGACCGATCTCCTCCAAGATGGCCCCGAGACAGACCCCGAGGCTCCCACAGGCCCTCACGACAGCCCCAAGAGGTGCCCAGGAGGCCCCAAGAGGCCAACAAGATGCCCCCAGGATGCCCCCAAGAGGCTCCCAAGATGCCCCCAAGAGGCTGCAAGGAGACCCCCAGAAGGCCCCAAGAGGCCCCTAGAGACACCCGAGACGCCCCAAGAGGCCCCTGGGGCTGCCAAGAGGCCCTCAAGACGCCACAAGAGGCCTCCAAGAAGCTCTCGAAAGGCATCTGAAGAGACTCCGAAAGGCATACAAGAAGCCTCTGACCGTTCTGCTTGCCCCCTCCTCCTCATCCTCTTCCTCATCCTACTCCTCCTCGCCCGCCTATTCCTCCTCATTCCTCCTGCCTCCTGCCCCTCTCCCTCTCTCTACTCCTCCGCCTCCTGCTCCTCCTCCGATTCCCACCCGCCGTCTTACCCAGTCCCATATTCCACTGCATGATCCTCCACATCCCTGATCAGGGTAAGTCGTCTGGGCATCGTTTCCGGGCAGGGCTGGTGGAGCTACGCGAAGCGTCTAGACTGAACAGTTCTGACGGAGAGCGGAGGAGGAGGAGGAGTGACGGGAACCGATTAGGGGAGGGAACTGGCTCAGAGGGGGGGAAGAATCGATCTGGAATCAGCGACACATCGCCGATAGATCGGCGATGGGCCCTCGATAGCGAATCCGAACGGTCCTGGGCGGGGTGGGCTATCAGCCCCCTCTGTCGGCGATCGATGGGCGAGTGGGGATCGTTGCAGTCCGCCCCCAGGGCCTATCCACACCACGAGTTGCCCCTGACTGTGAGGGGGCAGCATGGCGATTGCAGGGTGAGGATGATGTATCGGGCGCCGCGGCCGTTCCAGAGTGGTCCAGAACGATCTGGGAGCTGGAATCGGCGATATATCGCCGATAGATCGGCGTGGGGCCCCCGATGGCGCATCCGCACGTGACTGGGCGGAGCGGCCTATCGAGCCCCTACCGGCGATGACTGGGCGAGTGGGGGTCGATGATGCGTCCACCCCTGAGCCCGTCTCCCCCTTAGCGTGGCCGCGGACCGATGAGGGCCCCCAAGACGTCAACACTCCCCCAAACCTTCCGCCGTGACTCGTTCCTTGTTCGCGAGGAGAGGTCCCGGCATGGCCGTCAGCTGGCAAGGCGTCGGGGTGCGCACAGACAGCCCCCCCCCAGGTAGTCCAGGCTGGCCTCCACGGGCTCCCGAGCAGCCCGAGCTGGCCTCAACAATCCCCCGAGTAGGCGCGGTCGCAACAACCTGTCGCCGCCTCTGGCGGCGCCCCTAGCGGCGCCCCGCGCCCCAGGGCTGGGGTGTGCCAGCTGAGACTAGTCGGCGGCCTGCCTGTTGAGGAGGGACCGACCGCCCCGGCATCCCTGTAGGCCTACCACGAAATTCTCGTAGAACCCAAAAATGTGCCAAGAACAAAAACGGTGTTCTTAGAACCTAAGCCCGATGTGATAGAACAAGACAGCCTCCGCCAGACCTGTTCTGAGAACACTTCGTGGCAACCACGCAAGGTTCTTGGAACATTGCTTGGTAGGCCCGTAGGCGAGCCAGGTCGCTTCGCCACTGCTTGAGTCTGCGCGCAGCCCGCAGCCTTCCTTGCCAAGGTCGGCTACATGCAAGAGTAACTCGGGGTAAGAGGGACCTTCGGTGCGCGATTTTTGGGGGGCCGCGGGGGGACCAAACCTGGGCGCGCAAGCAGCTGCTACTGATTCCCGAAAAAGGAACCCGAGTTAGCCCTGACCCGAGTTACCCCTGATGATGTGGGGCTCTGGACGCCCGAATTATCCGGGGTAACTCGGGCCCAGGGTAACTCGGGGTCGGATTCCCGAAAAACGAACCCGAGTTAAACCTGACCCGAGTTACCCCTGATGATTCAGGGGTCTGACCATCTGTGCCCGCACCAAAGGTCCCTCCGGCGAACGGCCACTCCTACGCCTATAGTCGGGGCACGGCCGGCAGCCCGGCGGCCGCCGAGCGCGCGCCCGCGCCTCGTGGCCGCTGGCGGTCATCGCCAGCGCGCCGACGGCGTACGGCAAGACGCCGCCAGGGCCGCCGGCACCGGAGCCGGAGCTGCCACCGACCTCCGCGTGCGCGGCGACGACGACGACGACGATCGAGGTTCGCTCACGACGACGAGGACGACGCGGATGACAACGAAGACGACGACGCGGATGACAACGAAGACGAGGAGGAGGACGACGACGAGCACGACAACGACGACGACGCCGACGCCGACGCCGACTACGACGACGACGATCGAGGTTCGACGACGACGTCGACGACGACGGCGTGATTCGAAACTGGCAACGACAACGTCGTGCGATGTTCGAAGATCGAACCTCTGAAACGTTCCGAACCCCTCGCGGGTTGGTAATCCATCCGTTACAGACTCCACTTTCGTCCGAGCCGAACTTGTCATCCCCAAGACGGTCTTCGTTCAGCACTCGGAACAAGGTCGCAAGACAATAGGCAAAGAACATTAGCCCCGTCGTCAAGGCCCTGTTTATACTTAGGTCCAGCATGTCCTCCTACAAGCGGATTTTGGGCGATTGTTTTTAATCAAGTCGACAATGCTCCAAAAATGATATGAAATGACAGAAACATCGTCCCTGGGCGAGGTTTTGCTGTAGAAAGACGTGCCCGACTGGAGATTGAACAGAATCACCCCAGACGAAGACAGCTGCAGGGTGGAGAACCCAGACACGAAGAAAACAAGGGGTTAACCCCTCCAACGCCGGGGCTGCTCTTAACTCAGGGGCGGTCAGCTTCGACTCGAGAAACAGGATCGGATCAGATCCTTAGTCGAATCGGACAAGGGCCTCCCCAGGAGAGAGCGAGGGGGGGGGCTCCGAAAAGCTCCCCCCGCCTCCTTGGAAGACCACCCCGCTCGCCCCGGCCAGCGCCACGCGCCGCACCGGCGCGTAGTCGAACACGAATCGGATCGGCCGCGCCAAGTGGCGCAGCAGCGCCATGCAAACATCTGGCCGAGCATGGGAATCGAATCGGACCGAGCCGGCCGAGATCGAAGCCAAATCAAACCGATCGGATCAAAATGGGCCCTGTCGTAACCATCGTGCCAACTGCATTTCCTTAATTTCGGCGGCGAGCCTGGGGGGGAAGTGAGAAGGAGCGGGCCTTCTCAAAGGCTCGGAAATCCCCAGGCCTTCTGAGACGTGTTCTGAGCCTTCCCCAAAGACTCGGAGAACTTCTCAGAGGTGCGACGGGCTTCTCAGCAGTCCCGCCGCCGTCTGAGAAGGCCTTCTCCTTCTCATTTCCCCCCCCCTCGCTCGCCGCCGATGTAATGTGAACGTTTTCTCATTCGGCGTTTCGACATTGAGCGGAAAGGGGGGGAGGGGGGGGTCTGGCTCCGGACCTCTGCATAACGCGACGGTTTGCAACAGTGTATCCTATGGCGGAGGGACTGCACCTGCTCGAAAAAGGCTTCCAAAACCACCAGGATCTACTCCATGGGGGGAAGGAGGGCGAGGGGGGGTGGGGGTGGGGGCGCGGGCCCGCGCCGATCCGCAAAACAGTGACGAAAAACGATCACACTTGCCAACCACGCTTGTCGGGTGTTGCTTGAAGTACCCCTGGCCAAAGGTGCCCCCAGGATTCGCGTAGTGGCCCAGACGGCCTCCAGAGCACCCCTCACGCGGCCCAGAGGGCCCCAGGGGCCCCAAAATGAAGGGAAAAGCTGGGGGCACCTTGGGCCAAAGGCACTTCTAGCAACACCCGCGCTGGTGCCGATTGTGGGGGGGGCGCGCCTGCAGGCCCACGGGCCTGGGCATCGCCGGGTACATGGCCGCCTGGAGCGGGCCCGCCGCGGGGGCAGAGCTCGGGAGGGAGGGGGGACAGAGGGGCACGACACGACGGGCCGCAGTTCCCACATCTACAGTCGGGGCGCTGAAGAAGGAACCCTTTGCGTTGGGGAGGGGTTCTGTGTTCCTTAATTGTTTCGCAGTTTGCCTTGGGTTTCCTTTGATTTTCTATGGGAAATCGAAGCTTAACTTATGGGAGACAAGGGGCCTCGTTCCTTATTTAGGGTTCCTGGCGTCAACTCCCCGACTGTACCGATTTGGGGGCACGGACCTACGGACCGCTCCTCCAACGCATTCCGATTCGAAGGTCGGTCTTATCCCGCCCGTTCCTCTCGCCATCGCTCGGACGTCCCTTCCCTGTGTTTTGTTCGGTTTCGTGCGTGGTGTTTTCGCCAGATGATCGAGGACGCTCCTCGATTGTCCTCGCCGAAAGAAAAATGCACACGTCCGAGCGATGCCAAATCCTGTGGGCCCGGTTCTGCCAGCGAAGGCGACTACAACTCCATCAGGAGCCCGCTGGTGTTACGGCCGGGATAACATCCTTCAAGAACATGGCCCCCCGCTGGCCAAACTGAAGAACATTCGAGGGTGCCCTCCCCCAAGATGCACAAACATATCCAACAGACACGAAGAACATTAAGGGACCCTTCCCGAACCGACCTCGATCTTATACCTCGGTCCGCCCTTTCACGCGGTAACTCCCGTGACCCGCCCCATCCCCCCCACACGATTCGCACTGGCGCCGTCTGGGAAGGAGCCATTCTTGGGCAATCCCAGACATCGCTGGCGCGACTCGTGAAGTGCCTGGCCCCCTCCCCCCCTCCCCCCCCCTCGGCCACGCCCGGCACGAGGACACAGTACCCTTGCCGAGGACCACAGTGCCACAGGAGTGTAAAGGCATGGGTCGCGGAGCACAGGACACGAGGGCACCCTTGCTGAGGCAGGGCCGACCTACTGATCGGCCTCGTCTGCTTCGCCAGGACCACATTGCCATAGACATGTAAAGGCACGGGTAACGGAGCACACGACACGAGGGCATACCTTTGCTGAGGCAGGGCCGACCTATACTGATCGGCCCCGACTGCTTCGCCAGGCCACTCAACGAGGGTCTTCGGCGAGGCCCGCCTGGGGCGGCCGTGCTGATCCCCCGGCAGACATGGAGAAGGAGGAGGAGGGGGGATGAGGAGGAGGAGGAGGAGGAGGAGGAGGGGGACGAGGAGGAGGAGGAGGAGGGGGAGGAGGAGAGGCGGGGGGACTGTGGAATCCCTCGGCGTTTTGGCATTGTTTTTTGTCGAGTGAAACGCTCCTTCATCTTCATAAACTTTGATGTGCTTTTGAAATTTTCCAGTTCGCCGTGATCCCCCGATAATATGCTTCTCTTGTTATATCGTTATCTCGTGCTCTCTCTCTCTCTCTCGTTGTCTCTCTCTCTCTCTCTGTCTATCTCCTGCACAAGGCCTATGCATGCCGATGCGATACCAATCCATTGCCTACCAACGCCAATGGCAATGCAATGTTCATGGGGGTATCCTTCCGCTCGGCGAATTTTAATAAGAATCCTTTGTGGACGATGTCATTACGAATCTTTCTTCGGAGGATTTCCATAGGAATGCCTCTGTGGAGGGTTTCGATAGGGATCCTCCTGTGCAGGGTTTCACTGGGAATCCTTCTTATGGGGGGTTCAATAGGAGTCCTTCTGCGAAGGGAGCCATGGGTCTCGCCAGCGCAATGCCAACGCAATGCCGAAGCAGTGCCATCGCAATGCCAAACTTAAGCCAAGGCGTTGCCAATACAATGCCCATTGGGGGAGCCTTTGTGGTAGATGTTAAAAGGAATCCTATGTCTGGAGGGTTTCAACAGGAATCGTTCTGCGAAGGGAGGCACAAGGACTCGCTAGTGCAATGCCAGCGCAATGCCAAAACAGTGCCCAATCCAATGCCAATGGGGGAATCCTTTCGCTCGGTGGATTTCAATCAGAATCCTCTGTGGACGGTGTCATTACGAATCTTTCTTCGGAGGATTCCAATAGGAATGCCTCTGTGAAGGGGCTCGATAGGGATCCTCCTGTGGAGGTTTTCACTCCGAATCCTTCTTGTGGCGGTTCAGTAGGAATTCTTCTGCGAAGGGAGCCAATAGGACTCGCCAGCGCACTGCCAACGCAATGCCAAATCACTGCCATCGCAATGCCAAAACAATGCCAAGGCGGTCCCAATCTAATGCCAATGCAATGCCAATGGGGGGAAACCCTTTGCTGTAGATTACCAAAAGGAATATTGCTTGTGGAGGGTTTCAACAGGAATCGTTCTGCGGGGAGGGGGCAGTAGGATTCGCCAGCGCAATGCCAACGCAGGGCCAACGGAATGCCAAACCAACGCCAAGGAGATCACCACTTAATGCCACTGCAACGCCAATGGGTGGATTGCTTGTGGTAGCGTTGAATAACAATCCTTCTGAGAACCCTTTTGTGAATAATGCCATCAACAAAAAAATCTGTCTAAGGACCATTTTTCATAAGATTTCAATCGGCATCCGTCTGTGGAGGGACTCGCATGGAACCCTTCGGTGGAGTATTGCAATGTGAATCCGTATTGTGGGGGGGCCGTAGGCATCATTCCTCTGGACGCATTCCATCGGAATCCGTCGGTGAAGTGTTTGGCTGGAACTCGCCAACGCAATGCCGTCGCAATGCCAACGCACTGCCATCGCCATACCAATGCAATGCCAAACCAATGCCAATGCAATGCCGATGGCAGGATCCCAGTCGTTCAACAGATTCTCACAGAAATCTGTATGTGGATAAATTGGTTACGGATCCTTTCTGCGGAAGATGTCGATCGGAATCTTTTTGTGGAAGTGTTCAACAAGAAACATTATGTGGAAGGTTTGACCATGAACCCGTCATGTGGGGCGATCAAAAGGAACCTTTTTTCGTGTGGAAAGTTTCAATCGGAATCCCTCTATGGTGGGGGCCACTGGGACTCGCCAGCGCAATGCCAAAGCAGTGCTAACGTCATGCCAAACCAATGCCATGGCAATCCCAATCCAATCCCAATGATATGCCTGAGTGGAATCGCCTGGGGTCGGTTTCAATCGGATTCCTTCTATGGAGGGCCTCGAACGGGTTCAATATGAACCCGTTTTGTGGAATTCTTCAATCGGAATCCTTCTTGCGTAGGGCTCAATAGGAATCAGTTTGCGAAGGGATCGACTGGAACTCGCAAGCGCAATGCCAAAGCAGGGCCAACGCAATGCCAACCTAATGCAGAGGCGACCCCAATCCAATGTCAATACAATGCCAATGGGGGGGCATGTGTGGTAGATTTCAATAGAAACCCGTCTGAGGAGGGCGTCGCATGGAATCATTCTGCGTAGGATTTCACGATAAATGAACCCTTTTTTTTGCGGAAAGGTTTTAATAGGAGCCCGTTTGGCAGAAGGTTTCAATCTGAGTCCTTTTGTGGTGGGTTCCATTTAGGGCCCGCCAGCGCAATGCCTGCGACATGCAAACGCCGTGCCAGGGCACTGCCAAGCGCTATACCAAGGCAATGCCACTGCGATGCCAAACCATGGCCAAACCAATGTCAATGCACTGCCAAGCGGGGCATGCCTTTCTTCCGACGCACCCCGAAAACAACAAGCTATATTCTGAGGGAAAAAGCAGGACGAGGAGGGCGGGGGAGAGAGGAAGGAGCGAGCGGAGCAGAGCGGAGGAAGAGGTGCCCCCTTTTTATATAAAAAACTAAGGATAATAATAATAATAAGAATACTGATAATAATCATATAAAACGAAGGCCGCGTCGCGTTTTTTTTGGGGGGGGGAGCCGGGGAGGCAACAATGCAGATTCTGGGGTAAGGAGGAGGAAAAGGAGGAAGCGGAGGGGGCGGAGCAGCGCGGCGGAGGAGGACGAGGGCCCCCCCCCCGAAACAAGAAAGAAAGCCAACGAACATTAGGCCGCGCCGCGTCTTTCTTATTATTATTATTATTAGTAGTAGTAGTAGTATTAATAATATTATGTTTAGGGGGGGGGCACGAGAAGCAAAGGGCTAGACGATGGGAGAGAGGAGGAAAAGGAGGAGGAGGAGGAGAAGGAGAAGGAGGAGGAGGAGAAATAAGAGGAGGAAGAGGGACAAGGAGGAAAAGAAAGGAGGAGTAGGAGAACGGGAAAAAAAGAGACAGGGGAGGAGGAGACGGAGGAGGAAGAGGAAAAATAGCGAAAACGCCGCGAACAACTATACGAAGACACTCTTCGAAAGGCGAGGGGCTCCGCAATCCCCCGTCCTCGATGGGGAGGGGGGGGAGAAGGCGGAGGGGGAGGAGAGGGGGGGTGGGGATGGGGAGGGGGCGGGGGGGGGGAGGAGGGGAGGAGGAGGAGGAGGAGGAGGAGGAGGAGGGGGGGGGGAAGGAGGAGGAGGGGGGGGGGGGAGAGGAGGAGGGGGGGGAGGAGGAGGGCGAGGAGGAGGGGGGGGGGGGGAGGAGGAGGAGGAGGAGGCGGCGGAAGGAGGAGGAGGAGGAAGAGGAGGAGGACGAGGAGGAGGAGAGGAGGAGGAGGGGGGGAGGGGGGAGGAGGAGGGGGAGGAGGGGGGAGGAGGAGGAGGAGGAGGAGGGGGGGAGGAGGAGGAGGTGGAGGGGGAGGAGGAGGAGGAGGAGGAGGAGGAGGAGGAGGAGGAGGAGGAGGAGGAGGTTGTTGTGGAGCGACCTAAAGTCAGCGGTAAAAAACTAAAAAAAACCTCTTCTTCCGAATCCGAGGCCCCCTCGCCCTCGGGATCCCGGGGAGGCCGCCGCGCCGCCTCACCTAGCGACCTGATCTCGTCAAGGTCGAACTCCTGCAGGCCGAAGGCTTCCAGCGCGGCCTCTCGAGAGGCGCAGCCGAGCCTCGCAAGGCCTGCCATCCCCGCGGCAGGAAAGGGCGAGGGAGAACAGCGCACGAGATCCCTCTCCGCCTCCGAGAGCCCACGCGGCCGGGAGGCGGCGAGGTTCTCAG